GATGATGATGATGATGATGATGATGATGATGATGATGATGATGATGATGATGAGACACCAACCCTATTCAAGTCTCAAGTATATATTTTTTTTCTACTTTATAACATGATTTGGTGAGACTTTTACTTTTGAATTTCCCTTTCTTTGTGCTGTTGCACTTGATTGTACATCTACCCCCCCCCCTTTTCAAAATTTAATTTGTGTCAGTTCTGCGTGAGCTTTAAACACTATGTGTGATTAATTTTAACGTATCTATACGCACAGCCAGGACCATGACAGTAACGACTTAGCGTTTCTTTTTCAGAGCTTCTGCTCTTTCCGATATAGTCCAAATCGCACCAATACGTAACTTGTAGTGAACGCTTTGGTGCTATGGCGTTATCACTCATTTTTGTTCTCAGAAAATGTCTTCCTGATGAAGCCTTATTGGCGAAACGTTGAACATCCAGGCCTATACGAACATCTAATTAAACGACACCAATCCTATTCAAGTCTCAAGTATATATATTTTTTCTACTTTAAAACATGATGATGATGATGATGATGATGATGATGATGATGATGATGATGATGATGATTATGTCTATGTCTACCTGGGCTTTGTGTGTTACATTCCCGAAAAGCAACTGTGATAGTGTATAAGCCCCGCCTCCAAGTAGGAATTTAAAAAAAAGTAGATCTATGTGTTTTTACGACCCCACAGACACAATTATTATTTAGATTATTTAAGAGGTCGGCTTCCGACCCTGCCATGAGCCATAACAGTAGAAAGACCGAGATACTTTATGAAACATTTCCCCCCTCTCGGGAATCGAACTCGGATCTCCTGCATGCGATAACGGAGCAATCAACCGCTACACCACAGACGTCGATCAAGTGGAAGTTGAACGGTTGCATGCAAGCAGGACAGTCCTTTTACAGTGTGAAATACGATATCCTTCAATGGTAAAGGTAGACCTGAAGGATCTTGGACTAATTTAGATCTCTATGTTGTTGTTTTAGGAAATACATAAGGTCACGCTCATAAGATAAATACCTACGTCATTTTTTAGCCATTTTGAGAAACTGAGAAAAACCTGCTTCTTTTGAACAACTGACTATGTGAAACGCTTGCGTTTTGATTCACTCAATTGATTTTGTATTTGGATTATTCTTTTGTCCAAGAGAACTATATTGACAAGCCGGCCCTTCTCTTCGTTTCAGAATAAAAAACTCCAACCCGGTCAAAAATGACTTTAGCAATTATCTTATGGGCGTGACGATAATGTACCGTTAAGCTTAAAGTTTTAATGCGACCTCTTTTTATCTTTTCCATAGGTGGCGTTGTCTGCTGAGCATAATTCTGCTGCAGGAGACATCTCCCACCAACTGCGTCGTCACGTGAGGTCAGAACTTGAACTCTCGAGACAGAAACGTCTCCAGCTCATCTCTGACGCACAAACCAGCCTTTCCGGAAGTGGTGACATCGAATTGTCAAGACAGAAACGCAGGCTCATAGATAATGATGAGGAACTCTCCAGGCAAAAACGATTGACTGAAGGCGACGACAAAAATGAACAATTTCTATCGAGACAAAAACGTCGGTCCTTGGATGCATATATTGAGCTTTCGAGACAGAAGAGACTTTTTGACGATGGAAGTGAAACTGTTCTGTCAAGGCAAAAACGCCGGTTTGATGATGGCGATTTAGAACTTTCCAGACGGAAGAGGCCCGACGAAGGAGTTCAGGCCTTACTTTCGAGGCAAAAGCGAGTGTTTCGACGCAGCGTGGCTGCGATTGTAAACGGGCAACGTCGTTAATGAAGTTAATGCTCCGGGATACTATACTTGCTCCCCCCCCCCCGACGATTGTTTTCCCGAACGGGCAACAATAAATTACCGTCAGGACAAGACATTGTAAAATTCTGCAAAATTGGCATACGAAAGCACTCCCTCAAAAACTATAGTTTCTTTGTGCTCAGTGCAGATCGGTGACAATAATGTGTTTTGGAGTAAAGAGGCATACTCTTGTTTGTCCTCAGTTCTATCATCACACACGCCTATAGCTTGATTCGACGCACAGGGGTTTTTTTTCTTGCTGTAGTACATCGAGGCGAAGGTGAATTCTGTGAAGTGTATGTTGATTTGAAAGGCTGAAAACGCCTTCGGGGTGTCCCACGAACTGTCGAAAGCCGTTCTGGCCTCCCAACTTTTGTTTCTAGTTCCTAGTGTGAGGAAATGACACAAAAATTTACCATGTGATAAATTTCCCCAGACTTGACGTGCTCTTAAATAGTTAACTGTTTTTGAATTTCACTGTTAACATAACGCATGCATGTGAATAATATAAATAAAATAAAGCCTTTCTTATATTGCTTACAATTCCGTGAGTGGTATCAGTGAAGGGCGGTCCATAACCTAGCCTTGGCATCACTGTGTTATATATTTATTATTCTTTTAGCAACCAAACCTATTCATAGCAACAGTGTGTTACACATATTTATTCTTTTAAACAACCACAACCTAGTCTTTGGCGTCGCTGTGTTCTATTGTTTTTACAACGTCTGTTGGGGTGGGAGGAAACTTGTACAGGTAATCTTATCATTGTGACATTACAATTCCTTTACCTCTCTTTATGATGGGCTTGTGTGGTTGGAGGGCGACATGGTAGGTGTGTTACTGTCACCTTTACTTTCCCTCGCTAATTTTCCGTCTTTCTCTCTCGTTCTTTTCAGGTACTAATGACCGTTTTAAGGTTGATGAGCTTCTCTTTTCTCAAACCCAAAACACAAAGTACACTAGTCTGTGTTTGGGGTGGTTCCGCTGATACTGGTCATGAACTGAACATGGGAGTCCAGGGTTTGAAACCGAAAAGGGTTCTTACTATCTAGAGCCTTCTTGGATGGAGGTCTACCAACTTTTTTGTGACTCTCGACACACGCATGAATTTTATCTAGTTTGTACTTTGTTGATATAGGGCTAAAAATGTCTGGAGTATTGATAAAGAGAAAGACGAAGAAGGTAGAAGAGGAACAGATATGGAGAAGAAAATCGCACAGAGACTTCCTTCTTGCATTTTTTATGAGCCTTTAGACGCGGAGCGGTCACGGACAATTTCTTTGACTTCTTCACTTCCCGACTTCCTGTCTCTGGACGATCAGTCTCCTTTTGTATTGACTTGGCTGAAAATTCTCTAATCACCCCCTTCCTGTCCCTTATTCACCTCGTTTCTCACTCTCTACCCCCTCCCTTCTCTCTCTTTCTCTCTCTCTCTCTCTCTCTCTCTCTCTCCCTCTCTCTCACCGATTCCCTCTCTCTCACTCTCACTATCTCAGTT